TGAGAATCTTTCTCAAACGTTTACTTTAAGTATCTCACGAGCGAGCTTTATTTACAGAACAATCGCAAATTATCTGTTATGGAGATTCGTCAGACATAGAGTGAACAATCTGGACGATCGATTTCAAGAAGCTAAACAGAAATTTTATTATATACTGTTTGGAAGGGAACAAGCACCGTCCAGGTGGAAAAAGTGCGTGGCACAGGTGAATTCTAATATGGGAATGGCTGTTGGTTCGATGTTCGTGAAGAAATATTTCGATGAGAAAAGTAAAAACGATGTAAGATTTCTTTTTTTTTGGAGTTGATCAATTTTCGTTCTGTTTGCAAATTTTATTTTATTTGTTCATTTTTTTTGGGAAAAGACATTGTCGATGACGAGAGAGATTCAACGATCGTTCAGAGAGCTTCTGAATCAAACTAGCTGGATCGATGACGAAACGAAAGAATTAGCGACTGAGAAAGTAAACGCAATGCTGTTAAGAATCGGTTATCCTGATTTCATTCTGCAGCCTGAACTGCTGAACGAACGTTACAAGGATGTAAGAATCACGTAGCTGACTCTCCTTCGGAGATTAGATAATACGATAGACACGCTGTTAGTTGTGCAAACATAGTTAATTTCTGGTGAACTGTTAGGTCGTGATCCGTCCAGATAAATACTTCGAGAATACGCTGAACATCTTGCAACATTTGACCAGGGTGGAGCAGGATCGACTTGGGAGTCCTGTTAATAAAACCCTGTGGAACACCGCACCTGCAGTGGTCAATGCTTACTATAGCCGTAGCAAGAATAAGATAAGTCAGTGTGATTTTCTTTGTGTACAGAGAAGGAAAGAAAATTTTGTAATTTTAGAATTTTAGGATTTTTAAATCTTAGAAAGTTAGAATTTCAAGATTTTAAAATTTTAGACTTTAATTTAAATGATTTAAAAATCTTAGGACTTTAAAATTTTCGAATTTTTTCCTCTGAGCGAAATAAAAATTTGTTCAACAACCGAAAATTGTGTACTAATTGTTAAAATGACTTTTCCACCCCCCAGTGTTTCCAGCCGGAATACTACAGCCGCCCTTTTATCACAGATACTTTCCAAGGAGTTTAAATTACGGCGGTATTGGCGTTGTAATCGGCCACGAAATCACCCATGGTTTCGACGATAAAGGTCGACTGTTCGATAAGGATGGTAATCTACATAGATGGTGGAAAGACGAGGCTATTTACGGCTTTCACGAACGAGCCCGTTGTCTTATCGGTAATCGACGCGCCTCCAGTCCCTTAAACTTTCGTTCGCCAGTTTCACAACTATTTAATCTTTTAGACCAGTACAGTCATTACACCGTCAGCGAAGTTGGAATGCATATTGATGGGATCAACACGCAGGGTGAAAATATCGCTGACAATGGCGGTATTAAACAAGCATTTCGCGTAAGTCACTTCCCCCTGGTAATATCTTTTATAATTATTATTTTACACAATAAAATGTATTATATTAAATTTGCA